TATATATATACACACAGTGGGGAAAATAATTATTTGATTCCCTGCAGATTTTGTAAGTTTGTCCACTTACAGAGAAATGAAGGGTCTACAAATTTTATCATAGGTGTATTTTACATGCTAGAGATAGAATATGAACCAAAAATCCAGAAAAAAAACACATGATACAAATGTTATAAATTGAGTTGCAGTTCAGTGAGTAAAATAAGTATTTGATCCCCAAGCAAAACATGACATAGTACATTGTACAGAAACCCTTGTTGGCAACCATAGAGGTAAGACGTTTCTTGTGGTTGGTTACCAGGTTTGCACATATCTCAGGAGGGATTTTGATCCACTCTTCTTTACAGATCTCTAAATCCATAAGATTTCTTGGCTGTTGCTTGGCAACTTGAAATGTCAGCTCCCTCCATAAATTTTCTATAGGATTAAGGTCTGAAGACTGGCTTGGCCAGTCCATGACCTTAATGTGCTTCTTCTTGGGCAACTTCTTTGTTGCCTTGGCAGTATGTTTTGGGTCATTGCGATGCTGGAAGACCCATCCACAACCCCTCTTCAGTGTTCTGGCTGAGAGAAGAATATTCTCATCCAAGATTTTACAATACTTGGCCCTTCAATGCAGCAAAGTCAGCCTGTATGTTTAGCAGAAAAACAGCCCCAAAGCATAATGTGTCCACCTCCGTGCTTGACTAGGGATAGTGTTCTTAGGTCATAGTCAACATTGTTCTTCCTCCAATTACAACAAGTCGAGTTAATGCCAAAGAGTTTAATTTTGGTCTCATCTGACCACAGCACTTTCACCTAATCCTTCTTGGAATCATTTAGATGTTCATTGGCAAACTTCAGATGGGCCTGTACATGTGCCTTCTTGATGAGGGGACCTTGTGAGCACTGCAGGATTTCAATCCATGGCAGTGTATTGTGTTACCAAAGGTTTGTTTGGTGACTGTGGTCCTAACTGCCTTGAGATCCTTCACAAGCTCCTCCTGTATAGTTCTGGACTGGTCCCTCACTTTTCTCATGATCATCCTTACCCCATGAGGCAAAATCTTGCATGGAGATCCAGACCGAGGGCGATTGATGGTTATTTTGTATTTTTCCCATTTGCGAATAATTGCTCCAACAGTTGTCTCCTTCTCACCAAGCTTTTTGCTGATGGTCTTGTAGTCCATTCCAGCCCCCTTGTGCAGGTCTACAGTCTTGTCCCTGACATCATTTTGTCAGCTCCTTGGTCTTGCCCATGGTGATACCCAAGAAAGTTTCTGAAAGAGAAACTGTCACCAGCACACCGAGGATCACCAATATGGGTCCAAAAGTTTTAATGAACGATCACATAGTTACAGCAAGGTAACGCTTCTGAGTCTCGCAGGACTCCTCCATCAGGCATGTGACAAATTGTGACAGAAACTGGAGAACTATTTAAGAAAACCATCCACCAATCAGAGTGAAGTGAAATGAGCTTGGCCCCGCCCCATGATGTCATGTTCTCTCCAAAAATGCATTCAAATCAATGTAAACAGAAACATTACATACACACAGCCATTTTTAACGCAGGAACGTGTGCGTTTGGATTGTACACTTGCAAGAAAGATTCTGAGGACAGGTGTCTTTTGTATACATAACGAGTTGTCCTTAGGAGCACCTTCCTAAAGTGACAGGACTAATCTGTGTACCACATGAGCACATAGCCAGTCTGTGGGAGCCAGAATTATTGTTGGATGGTAGGGGATCAAATACTTATTTTACTCACTGAACTGCAACTCAATTTATAACATTTGTATTGTGTGTTTTTTCTGGATTTTTGGTTGATATTCTGTCTCTAAAAATTATAGACCCTTCATTTCTTTTTTTAAGTGGGCAAACTTACGAAATCTGCAGGGGATCAAATAATTATTTTCCACACTGTGTGTATATATATATATATATATATATATATATATATATATATACACACATACAAAATTGATACCAAATTAAATCACTAACTATTAAAAGAAAACAATGTATAATATGTTAGCATACACTACAAATGCTAAAAGGTATAATGTATAGAAAGCCATCATCAAATAAATAACTAAAAAGGAGACTCAAGTGGTTAAGAAAAACTTTATACAGTGGGATATGATGCCAAACATACAGAAAAATAGATATTGGGTTCACATATACTTTAAACCTATATTGTGTGAACAGTAAAGATGTAAATACTGCTTAGCAAAATGTTAAATTTTTTTTTGTAATATACCTTTTATATTACAGTCAAATTACTTTGAGGTGAAAATTCTCCTTCTTCTTTTGAAGTATGTATGTATGTAACATATATGTATTAGTTGCAAATAAAAACACACCCCCGCCCCCGTCTCATTTAAAACCCCAAAGGCTCATGCATATCTCTTTTTTTTTTTTGTATCTCTTGATATCCAATGGCTATTTTGCCTCTGATGGGAATTCTGAGTCTGTTCTGTTCTAACTACTATCTATGCCATTAAAACTCAGTCGCTCCCAGCAATGACGATGTCTACAGAACAGAAGCCAGCAAATCAGCTATGTCACAGTCTGAGTCTCTGGAGAAAAATTATACCCATTATGGAGGAAAGGGGGAAAATGCTATTATAAATATTACAGACACAAAAATCCCAAGATGACAGTTTGGATGTTTGAAATGTGTGGCGGATAATCCAAAACAATTTTTGTCATATTTCCAGGAAACATTATTTTAAGCAGACTGGGCATGTAATGTATTTAGAAGCGTGGCGTTGTACCAGTAAACCTGGTGGCTACTACTAGATACAGTGCTCCATAAACATGTCACGATTACCATTTTTACTCTAGGAGAGGGCTTTTTATTATTAAGAATATAAAAAAAACCTATGGCAGCTCTAGATGTCACAACAAAGCAAATTTAATTTCCAATGTCCTCTAGTGACCTTGGGTAAACACAAGGATGAGGATATGGATTTACTTAACGCAATGTACTTGCAGCAGAATTGAAAACAATTTGTGGGATGCTTGTATGAACACTGTGTCCTTCATTTATGCAATAAGACCATTACTTGCTCCATTTAATGGATACCAGCTGTTTGTCTTCAGAGCTCTTTAGTTTGAAAAACAAATTCCAAAACTGATTGCAAAAAAACAAAACAAAAAACATAGATCAAAAATCAGAATGAGACAGCTGTGGTTGGCTCTTGTATGAAATGGAAGTGTACAAAACTGTACCCATGAAACGATATAGGCTTTTGATGTTTGCTTATTCAAATTGCTTAGTTTTCAGTTCATGGCCACAGAAAGTTCATGGCACTGTCGCATAACAAAACAGAAATAAACACAAATACCATATTTCTCCATTAGCATGCAATGCCAATTATTAAAGTCATCTTCCCTCAAAGTTGGATTTGGGCTGAGGACATTTACAGTCATAAGAGATTGATATATATTTTGCAATCTTGCTTTTTTAATGTTTAGTTCAATATATTTTTAAAATGTGTAGTCACCCATCCCATCGATACCAGCAGGACACAGGGGTATATACTGTAGTCTGATGGCTTCATTAGTGTTCTCCTTAGCACCAAAAAGAAGGGTGGCTCAAAGGTAAAGGGTAGGTGTCTCCAAACTCTTCAAACAAGGGGGAAGCTTCCTGTCTTTCGAGCTTTAGGAGGGGGGGGTGTGTGCCAGTGGGGGGGGGGGTAGAAAATGTCCAGAGCCCAGCATCAGTGAGAATAAACATTGCTTCAGGATTAGTGGTCAGTTATGTAGCGCCTGTAGTCAGTAGGAGGGAAAATAGTACCCCATCAATGGTATTACTGGGAGGACTAGTACCCCATCATTAATGTCAGAGGGAGGAATAGTGCCCCATCATTGGTATCAGCTGAAGAAATAGTATCCTGTTGTTAGTGTCAGTGAGAGGAATAGTGCCCTATTTTTGGTATCAGTGGAAGAAATAGTAGCTTATTGTTTATGTCAGTGTAAGCAATAGTGCCCCATCATTATACAAAATTGGTGCTGTGCTTCCACACTTATATAAATAATTAAATCAAAAATTAAGTTTCAATTACACCCCTAGTGAATCCTCCTGTGTGTAATTATCCCAAACTCAGTTCTTCATATTATTATACAAGCTTATACAGTGATGCTTGATAAACCATATGAAACAAGATATAAATGTGCAAAACACATAAAAACACAATACATAAACCCACTTGTGTCCCTAAACAGGGTGAAATCACAAACATGTATTAAACCACACATGATAAAACACTTGGCATAAATGAATGCCCAAAGGTGCAGTGGAAACAGACTGACAAATGGCACTATTGTGCCTATAAAAACAAACAATAGGACGGTCAGGATAAATTAACCCTGACTATAGGACAAATCTACAAGGACTATAACAAATCCTTCAACATAAATGTGCAACCACCACTCAACAAGTGCCCACATGTACCAAAATAAATTACCGTGCTCTAGTCCCTAAACTTGCTATAGAAATAGCAGGAAGAAAAAAATAAATAAATAAAAATAATTAAATAAAATATTGAGTGAATCCACAAATGAAAATCCAGTGACACTCTATGATAAACACATACCGTATTTTTCGCTCCATAAGACGCACTTTTTTCCCCAAAAAAAATATGGGGGAAAATGTCTCTGCGTCTTATGGAGCGAATACTGACCAGTCCTCCACCTGTCACCGCCGCCGTGTTAGTGCCAGCGGCTGTCCCATCCCAGTGCAGCCTGTCCCCTCCCACTGCAGGCTGTCACCAAAGTTCACCTTGCCCTCTCTCAGCGGGCTGACCCCGCAGCTCTTCATAGCAGGCAGTTCCCTCGCCGAACCCAGCCAGCTTGCTCTGCAGTCCGGTCCGCCCTGCAGGCGTGGCCTGTCCTCGGAGCTCGTCCCCGCTCCTGGCATGTCTATGTACTGAGCTCCCAGCTCTGCAGTCCGGTCTGGGGTGTGGCCTGTCCTTACAGCGCCTCCCCTTTCCTGGCATGTGTCCATAATGTGCTCCCTGCTCTACAGTCCGGTCCTATCTGCTGGTGTGGCCTGTCCTCGGAGCTCAGTGCGCCCCCTGCCTTCTGTAAGTTAAAATGACAGATGCTGGGAGTTGTAGTCCTTTTCCTTGGTGTATTGTGTCAGATCATTTGATATTCTGGGTGGAGGGGCCCTGTTGGGACTTTATATGATGTAGTATGTCCGCAGTCTCTGGTCATCCCCTGTACTGTGTCCGCAGTCTCTGGTCATCCCCTGTACTGTGTCCGCAGTCTCTGGTCATCCCCTGTACTGTGTCCGCAGTCTCTGGTCATCCCCTGTACTGTGTCCGCAGTCTCTGGTCATCCCCTGTACTGTGTCCGCAGTCTCTGGTCATCCCCTGTACTGTGTCCGCAGTCTCTGGTCATCCCCTGTACTGTGTCTTCAGTCTCTGGTCATTTTCTGTACTATGTCTGCAGTCCATTGGTTCAGAATATTTTTTTCCCCAGTTTTCTGCCTCTAAAACCTAGGTGCGTCTTATGGTCAGGTGCGTCTTATGGAGCGAAAAATACGGTAACTTAAATTTATAAAAAAAAAGTCCACAAAAACACGTGCCACCAATTATTAATAAACAAACATAAACAAATGGTCCATGTGTGCACTCTTCAATATGGCTGGATATATAGAAACCTCCAGCGATCAATATAAATCTGACAGGTACAAAAAGTGTAATCCTTCACCAGTAAGATTGCCCCCTCACCTTCATGAAGCGACCCACAGGGTCAAACCGCTTTTTTGCTATTAAGCATAGCCAACCGCTCAATCCTCCATGTCAGATTTGGTATCACAAACTGTGGTGGTATCCCCCTTCAGAACTTACAGGTATCACCTCTCCTGATAACCGGATGTTTTTCATATGATCTGTTTGTACCTCAGCTTCCTCATCGATGTTTATAAAACAAGAAGAAGAATCCTTCCATCGTGTGATATTGTTTCATTTATTGATATAAAAGAATACTATAAATGCTCACTCACGTGTTATGAGAAAAAAATGCTCACAGATCCTCATAGGAACTCCTGGGTGTACTCCTATGGGTGTATCAAGATGTCCCTTCCGCCGGAGGTGATGTCACCACGTCTCCGTCAATCGTCTAAATCAGGGGTCCTCAAACTACGGCCTGTGGGCCACATGCGGCCCACCGAGGACATTTATCTGGCCCGCCGGGTGTTTTGTAATATCCGGCATACACAGGAGATACAAAATTCACTGCCTCACCGGCCCCGCCCCTCACCCTCCAACCAAGCCGTCATTATGGAGATGACATGATGGGCGGGGCTCGCACAGTTCCCAGCATGCCGCAGCGGCAAGATGAATTCCCCTATGAAGATGTGTGTCCCTGATGCATCTGCGTATGTCACGGTTTTTGGCAGAAGTAGCCGTTCGCCGATCAACAACCATAGCACAGAGCTGTCACAGTTAACCACTTTTCTGCTGCACCGCTGATTACACTTACACACGCCGCTCATCCCAAGGATCACTAGCCGCCAATGCTCCAGCAAGATGGATCAAAGATGCGTATTGGGGAGCATCATGGATCGGAGAGAGGACACTTACATGGGGGGGTTGTGACATGGGGAAGACACTGACATGTGGGGGGGGCCGTGACATGGGGAAGACACTGACATGGGGGGGGCCAGTGACATGTACTGAGGACAGTGACGTGTGTGGGGGTCAGTGACATGGGGGGGTTGTGACATGCAGAGGACAGTGACATGTGGGGGGTGGCAGTGATATGTACTGAGGACAGTGACATGTGTGGGGGTCAGTGACATGGGGGGGCTGTCACATGCAGAGGACAGTGACATGTGGGGGACCAGTGACATGTGCTGAGGACAGTGACATGTGTGGGGGTCAGTGACATGGGGGGGCCGTGACATGCGGAGGACAGTGACATGTGGGGGCCAGTGACATGTACTGAGGACAGTGACATGTGTGGGGGTCAATGACATGGGGGGGGTTGTGACATGCGGAGGACAGTGACATGTAGGGGGACAGTGACATGTGCTGAGGACAGTAACATGTGTGGGGGTCAGTGACATGGGGGGGCTGTGACATGCAGAGGACAGTGACATGTGGGGGGACAATGACATGTGCTGAGGACAGTGACATGTGGGGGGGGCTGTGACATGCGGAGGACAGTGACATGTGGGGGCCAGTGACGTGCTGAGGACAGTGACATTTGTGGGGGTCAGTGACATGGGGGCTGTGACTTGCGGAGGACAGTGACATGTGGGGGGCCAGTGACATGTGCTGAGGACAGTGACGTGTGGGGGTCAGTGACATGCGGAGGACAGTGACATGTGGGGGGCCAGTGACATGTGCTGAGGACAGTGACATGTGTGGGGGTCAGTGACATGGGGAAGACACGGACATGTGTGGGGGGTTCAGTGACATGGGGGGGCCATAACATGTGAACAAAACTGCGGGTGTCATTAACTTTTTTTTGAAACTATGGTCCGGCCCTCCAACGGTCTGAGGGACAGTGAACTGGCCCCCTGTTTACAAAGTTTGAGGACCCCTGGTCTAAATCATTGGTATCAGTGGAAGAAATAGTGCCCTATTGTTAGTATCAGTTGGATGAATAGTGCCACTTCATTGGTATTAGTGGAAGAAATAGCGCCCTATTGTTAGTATCAGTGGTAAGAATAGTGCCCCATCATTGGTATCAGCAGAAGAAATAGCGCCCTATTCTTGTTATCAGTGGGAAGAATAGTGCCCCATCATTGGTATCAGTGGAAGAACTAGCGCCCTATTGTTGGTATCATTTGGAAGAATAGTACCCCATCATTGGTATCGGTGGAAGAAATAGTGTCCTATTGTTGGTAGCAGTGGAGGAATAATTCCCTGTCATTGGTATCAGTGGGAGGAATAGTACCCCATCATTGGTATCGATGGAAGAAATAGTGTCCTATTGTTGGTATCAGTGGGAGGAATAATTCCCTGTCATTGGTATCAGTGGGAGGAATAGTACCCCGTCATTGGTATCAGTGGGAGGAATAGTGTCTCATCACTGGTATCAGTGGAAGAAATAGTGGCCTATTGTTGGTAGCAGTGGGAGGAATAATTCCCTGTCATTGGTATCAGTGGGAGGAATAGTACCCCATCATTGGTATCGATGGAAGAAATAGTGTCCTATTGTTGGTATCAGTGGGAGGAATAATTCCCTGTCATTGGTATCAGTGGGAGGAATAGTACCCCGTCATTGGTATCAGTGGGAGGAATAGTGTCTCATCACTGGTATCAGTGGAAGAAATAGTGGCCTATTGTTGGTGTTAATGGGAGCAATAGAGCACCATCATTAATATAAGTTTGAGGAATACTGCCCCATCATTGATATAAGTGGGAGAAATAGTGCCCCATAATTAGTGTCACTATGCCCCACTGTTGGTATCAATGAGAGGAATAGTGCTCCGAAGGGCCAGGTAAAGGCTCGCAAAGGGCTGCAGTTGAAGACCACCGATATAGGTGTGCATAACGTAGGAGGCACTGGTGTGAAGATTACTTGCGCACTTTGCGGGTAGGTTAATTGCTGCTCCTTATGGCTTGTGTTGAAATGCATTTTGTACATGATTTGGTGTGCATTTTTTCAACCTGCTGTATTGGTATTACTATGCACAATGCAACATTGTTACAGTATATCAGAATGCACTGTACAAGAATGCAAAATGTCCCTATTTTTTTGGCCTTTTCCCATGCTACATTGTCTAGCATCCAGCTATTTAGTGACTGCTGTTGGTAGGAATGCGCTCATACCAGTGAACTGACAAAACGGCGCTATGAACCCCTTTCCTATTCACTGTTAAACTGAGAGAGATAGCTAAACATGCTTTGGGGAGATCTTGTTTTTATTTTAAACATTAAAGTAGAGGTTTAGCTATGATTTTTCTTGCATAATTACATTGGTACTGCTTGGGCCAATATAAGTATGCATATCTCATACCTGATTGATCCCTGTGTAAGCTGCGAAACAATGTAGTATTCACTGCTACTACAGTGATAGCAGAGTCTTGCCGGTGAAGTGCTGGGCGGCTGCCCTTCTACATAATAACCACAGGGGGTTACTCACCCAGGACTACCGCCATTCAGAGAAAGCCTTATATTTTTTTGTTTTAATGAATGCAAGGGGCAAGGTGGAGATTGTCTGTAGTAGTGGTAATGCCTAAAGTGATTTTCCACTTTCACAGGGATCGGTCATGCATAAGATATACTGTACCTACTTACTTGCTTCAAGCTGGACCAAGGTACAGTAACTCTGCAAAAAAAAATCCTACCTAAACCTCTTCTTTAAACAATCTCATAAAAAAAAATCCACAAGGGTTTTTCTTGGTTCTATGCTTTTTCTTGAAAAAACTCCACAATGGTTACCTTTAGGGTCCAATGACACCTTTGCGCAGTGCTATCGTGCACGTCACCATAACACACATTTGCAATAAGATGCTATTTATTCTATAACTACTATCTATTATATTTAAGGTTCTTATATAGCCTTGCCAATTTATGCAGCACTTTACATATACAGTATACTGTGCATTCACATCAGTCCCTGTGCTTAACCACTTGCCTACCAGGCACTTATACCCCCTTCCTTACCAGGCCAATTTTCAGCTTTCAGCGCTGCCGCACTTTGATTGACAATTGCGCGGTCATGCAACATTGTACCCAAATGAAATTTTGATCATTTTTTTCTCACAAATAGAGCTTTCTTTTGGTGGTATTTAATCGCCACTGGGCGCTTTACTTTTTGCGCTATAAATTAAAAAAAGTGCAAAAAATTTGAAAAAAAAAAAAAAAAGTTTATTTGCCTTTTATAAAATTTTTCAAACAGGTATTTTTTCTCCTTCACTGATTTGCGCATATACTGATGGGCACTGAAGGCGGCACTGATGGGCACTGATATGCAGTACTAATGAGGTGGCACGGATGGCGGCACTGATAGACAGCACTAATTAGGGGTCACGGATAGGCGGCACTGATATGCCTGATAGGCGGCACTGATAGGTGACACTGCTGATGGGTACTGATAGACGGCACTGACTGGCATCACTTCTGGGCACTGACTGGCGGCACTGACTGGCACAACCCCTGGGCACTGACTGGTGGCACTGACTGGCAGCACTGCTGGGCGGCACTGGTGCACTGGTGGGCGGGCACAGGTGGGTGGCACTGGTGGGCACAGGTGGGTGGCACAGGTGGGCACAGGTGGGTGGGCACAGGTGGGTGGCACTGCTGGGCACATGTAGGTGGCACTTCTGGGCACACAGAGTGGCACAGGTGGGGGCACTGCTGGGCACAGGTGGGGGCACTGCTGGGCACAGGTGGGCGGGGCTAGTGGGCGCACTGCTGGGCGGAACTTGCGGGTGTCACTGCTGGGCACCGATCATCAGGGCACTGATCATCAGTGCCCTGATGATCGGTGCCGATCCCCGCTCTGACAATGCCGGTTCTCGGCAGTACTTTCCTGATCTGACAGCGTGAGGAAAGTGCAGCCCGAGAACCGG